ATTCGTAGATAATTTGGAGTAATATTAACATGATACACGGACTATTATAATGTAAAATTTTTAATTGGCCATAGTGTACCACAGTTTCGTTCCAGATGCATTTTCTCTTTTTACATTCGTCTTGATTTGTTCCTGGTTCTGGATGGCAGTCTAATCGCGGTTGTTCAGCTTTTGTGTGTAAAAGAACAGAGACGCCCAAAACGAGTATTACAGGAAGCATCCTTAACATTCTGTTGCTTCGTAATGTAGTATTAATAAACTGTTTTTAGGGTTGATGACGTGCATAGTTTTTTTAACTCGCTAGTTAAGGAGGATTTCTGTTCAGTTTGGGGTGCGTTATTTGCGAAGTGAAGCTACGCAGCTTGATGAAAGAGTTAGTTGGGTAAGGGTATATTTTCATACTTTTGGGAAGGAAAACCTGAAGTATGCTCTGGAGCTTGATGAAAGATACAATATTCGGTTTCCTCAGTACAAAGGAAGCTTGAGGCAGACTACTGTTAAAAAATAAAGCTATATTTTTTTGAAAATGTTGGGTTTGTGGACCTTGACTAGCTATGTTTTCTTGGTTTTTTGTTTGTTATTGTTGCTTGAAAACTAATTACTGAGTATTTTAACTTATACAGCCTTGTTTGGTCTGTGGATAACATACTGTGAAAAGGTGTCTGTTTTTTTTTTTTTGTAAAAATACATTTAGAAATTTTGAAATAGTCACTTTTTCAAAATGACATTTGGTTGTGAATTTTGTAGAAAATCCTATTTTATGTGTTGAAAGTGCACAATTTTAGTTTTTCGTCTTTCTTTTTTTTTTCTTATAACATTTTTGTTAAAAAATTTTTACAGTCAGAAGTAATTGACTTTAAATTTTGTCTGTAATGTATGAATAACGAGGAATAGATAAGATGAGGTAAAAAAACTAAGAAATTAATATAGTTGCAAAAATGGAAGATAAAGGGACGAGAAAAAATTATTACTGGATGTTTATTCAATTTTTAATCTTTCTTTTTAGATTCTGGTCAAGTTTTTTTCCTGAGCATTTCGATCATACGTTATTATAAAGTCTTTTGTTACTTTGTCAGATTTATCTGCTATATAAGAGTGAAAAACTATTTGATTTTTCCTGACTAAAGTCTAATTTTTGTCACTTATTCAAGATTATTGTTACCTTCACATCTGCTATAGAGATTCTTTAGGTAATTGGTGTAACTGAAGATCTTAAAGATGTTAGACAGTGTTACGGTGCTGAACACTTTCACAATTTTTCTTTTGTCAGTGTTCAAAAGAAAAGGCCAAAGACTAAAACAGTTATTATCACGATGATCAATCGGTGGCACACTGAAAGCTTACCATTTCTTTTGTCAATTCTCTAAATCAACTGCGTGATTGCTGAATATCAAAAAGCCTTGTTATGAACTATGTTAAGCATAGTCTAAAGTGGCATTCAAAAAGCAAACTTTTTTTATTTGCAGGCAAAACCACTAAAAATGTGCTTTTCGTAGCAAAGTTGTACTTTCAAAAGACGGTGCAACTGTTCTGTCTTGATGTTTATGCTAAAGTCAGTTTTATCAAAAAAAATAAGCCTTATAGTGGGCTTTAGAGTTCTTTTAAAAAATAAAATATTAAAAACGAAGTGTTTGTAAATTTTTTAGGCTGACGTTTTCAACTGATTTTTAGAAGTTTTTGCTAAGCTCAACTTCAATATTTGGGATGTATTGAATTTTTTCTATTGCATATACAGACTTTCATAGCGTGTTATGTAACACATATTCAAATATATGTATCAGCGCATACTTACAAGATGCGCATATATTTCAATGCAAAGCACAAAAGTAAAGTGGCACAATAAGTTATGACAAATCAACGATTCTTAAGCTGCACTTAATGACAGAGTAGCAAAAAACTACTTTCATTGAAAATTTTAAACTTCTGAAGAAATTTAGTACATTCATTTGAAGCAATTAGCAATAAATGTGTGCTTTAGTTCAAAAAAATTTAAAAAATCTTTGATAACGAACATAGTTTTTGTAATTTTTTTTTTCTTTCCAAATTTAGGTGTCTGTTATGATGGCTAAGTAAAGGTACCTGTTGATTAAATACTGGCAGAAATGCATTTATTTGGTGAGATAATAAATTTTTGTTTCTAAAATTAGGTATAATTTGCAAAATTTATTATTTTCGATTTTTTTTTTTTTTTTTTGAGCTATAATATTGTTGCATTTAAATAAAAATTTTTTTCAATTTATATGCAGTATGCCTTAGAGTTTGTAAATATAAAAAAAAAAAACTTAGATTGTTCCTTGAAAAGAAAAACAATTTAAAGTTTATTTTGTAGACTACTGAATAGAAGTTGAATATTGCTTAAAACAGTATTTTCCTTCCTCAAAAAGTAAAATTATTCAAACTTTAAAGGTATTCTAAGAGACGAAGTGACGTTACTTAATAAACTGTTAATTACTTATAAGGCCCAAAACGTGAGCTGTTAAAAAAGTTGCATATTATAAGGTGCATATGAAGCAAAACAAATAAAAAAATTCTTGACCAAGTGATGTACCAATAAATAATATTAAATCGTTTATCAAAATGATTTATTAGCTAATTTTTAAATTTAATGTTCTTTCAGAAACTGTGGCACAGTTACAAAAAATTTATTTTCAAAAAATTTGACATTTTTCTGGTCAAAAAATTAGAGATTTAAAACATTTTTATGATTTGCTTTTTTTTTTTTTCCTAAATATTTCAAATAGGTCAGTGATGTTTTAGCTTGACAATTCTACTGCCTTATTTTAAATTTACACTAAACATATCGTTTGTTTTTCTTCAAGTAGCTTACTAAATCTTAGCATTTACATTTATTATTTTTAATAGTGTATAATCAAATTAATTTAACATTGAAATAAACAGATTTTATTTTAAGCAAAAACTGAATATTTTTAATTTGTCAATTTCAACTTTTCATTTTCTCTCCTCTATCTCTATTCTTCACTTTTACCCTCAAATAGCTAAGAAAGAGCTTAACTTTACTATATAACTTTTGCTGTCAAAAAAACATTTTGTTGTTGCATTTATTCTCAACTTTATTCACTAATCTACAGCTACTTTTGAATTGTTGATACAGAACAAGATAAATTTTGCTATTTGGATTACATAGACAATTAAGACGTCATATGCTTAAGTAGAAATTTGAGCTATAAATTAAGGCTGCTATAAAGTGTCGTTTAGATACGTATCATATTTTCAAATTATTTTACAAATGTAAAAGAATTAGTGAATTTGATAATTCAATAGTATAATAGTAAAATTAGTGCTGTCAAAGCAGGTGATAGAAGGTTAATGTTTGTAAAATAAAAGAAAAATTATACATCTATAGACTTAAATTTAAACTACACTACTTGAAATCTATTTTATTCTCATACCTTTTTTT